GTACTCACTGGCAGTGAATTTGCTCTTTAAGGTTCGTATTTTTGAACACAGCCCATTACTTCATGGATATATTCTCGGTGTTGACAAGGTCTTGAATGCAGCTCTGAATTTGCAGGGTAGTAATACAGGACATGTGAATTAGCTCATGTAGAGGCAGAGCTATTTAAGAAGTCACAGGTTTTTTTTCATTTCCATTTAAAAAAACCCCACAAAATAGAATAGAACAGCGTGCTTCCCATGGCAGAGAGGAGAGGGCTTTACTGTATGACTACTAACTTAGCTACAGTGCCTTCGTTTTTCGTTAATGACCTTTAAGCCTTATAGCACCTCGCCTAGGCAAAATACCCTGTTGCCTCCTTTTTTGCCTCCTGGTGAGCATATTCCGTTTTCTAAAGCTTGTGTGTACAAAACTGAATTTCATTTTGCCACCGCATGGCGTTTGGTGTTATTTTAGTACAGTTTATCTGAGATGTTATGTGTTGCAATTTGAGCCCAGGGGTTTGCTCGCTCTTTGGATCAGTAAAGAAATCAAACGAGCAAAAGATATCCGTGGGCCTCAGATCTCCAAGGATTTGCAGTTGCCTGAATAGGGTAAGACCAGATGCCACCTGTGTAAAAAAATGTTTCTCTTCTTTTAAAAGATACAAATTTCTGGGCTAAATTCACCAGTGCTTTAACATAATGAATGGAATCAGACTGTGACCAGCGGGACATGTGTCTTTAATTGTTTATCTCCTGGACTAGCATGTGAGCATAGGGACATGTCTTGAGAAATAGAGAAAAAAAGAAATATATGTGAACTACGCTTCAGCGGCTTGTAAAACCATATAAAAATTTATGGGCTTGCTGCATTATTCAAGGTACATAATTTTATTACAGATCTGAGCAACACATGGGACAACTGATTTATTGTTATTGTCATATTTTACATAACGAATGTTTTACACAGAAGATTTTACTGCATGTATTTTAAAAAGTACAGGGCAATTCTTTGGGAAATGCGAGTTTAAGCTTATTTTTCAGGAAAGCAGAATTTTATACACAGGCAAAAGTAATCTATTCCTGTTGTGGTATACAAACCATTACTTAATAAATAATTGAAAGCATCTCATCATCTGATCCGGTACTCTTCTGTTAGCATCTTATTTGGGGTAGAGGCTAGGAAGCAAAAAGAGAGATATACATTAAAATACAATACCATTCCTCTCTGTAATAGCATTTTTATGATATAATTGACATTATTTGTAAGTAATTGTATATAGATGGTGACTGATAAACATCAAGTTCAAATGGCTTTGCAACAATGAGCTCGTTTTGATTGAACGTGAGGGATAGGATTCATCTTGTTCTAACACTGTATGCCTAACGACTAGTCTAAGGCTGGACCGCAATGTATGATCAGTGCCCAAGACTGGTGGCTTGAGTTGCTCCCTGGACAAAAAGACCAGGCAGCTACCTTAGATATTGAAAAATATTAGATACTTCAAGTCTAAGAGAAGTAACTGCCAGTAGACTAGTTAGGCATTGAAACTGGAAACTGAATAACCTGAATTGAAAAGCAAAATGTTTTCATTTTAGTGTGCTGTTGCAGATCCTCATCTGCACTGGTTTTGGTTGCCACCTCCCAGGTTCCTACCCGGATTCAATCTCCATGTTAGCGATAAATTCCCTCTTGCTGCCTGCTGGTGAGTCCTGCCTGTGGAGGACAAAGGCGACCTCAGATTTTAATATTCACTTCCCAAAACACTAGATGAAATATGTTAGCTATCCACCAAAGCAGTTCCCTTTTTGGTCCAGTGTTGAAACTGATTTAATTTGTCACTGGTTTATGCCTTTTTTTTAAAAAAAAAAAAAAAAAAAAAAATGTTGAGGCTTAAATATCTGGGGATTTGATCTTTAAATTAGGAACTTGAAGCAGTCCATTTGTACTTGTCGCTGCAGTTTCATTACCCGTTCTACTGCTTCCATAGTGTGGGCGGAATATTCCTTCATGAAGCTGAAACTCTCTGTCTTTTCTCAAAGACCCTGATGAAGATAAATTGTGCAGTCAGCACTTGTTTTCTTTCCAAGAATTCTTAATTTTGCCCTTTGTGGATGGTTCCTGCTACAGTAGATATCTTTTTCCTTTGAGTGCAGTGATCCAAAAGCAAGCGAGTAAGAACTACGGGATGTGGCAGACTGCTGCACAACTTTGTTTATAGCCTGCCTAAAGCAACCTTTCCATAAGCTGACATTTGGTTACATGGGACACAGAGCAGAGCTGCAGTCTGCTGTAGGGCGGCCGAATCATTCCATGCTGGAATCCCTTTGCCTTGCGCTGCTCTGCACACGAGTGGTACATCTGCACAGCTGGAAGGGCTTTTCCATCCGTAATTTTCACACCAGGGAATTCTAGGGTCAAGAGCCGTTGATATTACCATGAGGTGCTTGCATGTCTGATGATGTCATGAAAAATCAGCCTCACCAGACCTCCTTTGACCTTAGAGTCTGTGTAAGTAGGACTGTTTCCTCCAGATGGGGAAAAAAACACAGCTGACCCACAACTGAGTTTAAATTCTCACCTTAAATTCTACAATATTTTTAGTGTGAAAACAGAAGTTCTGACTGAATAAGAAGCTGGCAATATATTGAACTAATTGCATTTAGTACTGAGTTAGACCGTACCTACCTGGAAGAAATGATCTGAAATCACTGGAACTAAGCGTAGTTATTTGCAGTCTGCATCGCTTCCAGGCTGTTTCTATTGCAAGGCAGTAGTGTAAGAAAGTTTCTTTAATTCGTGACTGAAATGCGTTTCTCCAAAGGTTGCCAGGCTAGACTCTGTGGCAGAGTAGGTTTTATCTGCTAATTAAATTACTCGGTGAAAGTCATCATTTCTATTTTGACTTTACCATAGGATGTGGTTCTCTAGCTTGTCCTGCTAGGAGTAGATACTGCGCTCATTAGTAAAGAACAGGACTGGATCTTCTGTTGACAAGCTCATTTCTTTTTACTGCCATGTGTTGGAGGAAACCTGGCCCCTTGCACAAATCCTGGTCACAGCTCCCCTGGACGCTGCAGAATCCAAACTTCCTCTGTTGCATTCAGACGGGACGTCTGTGCCACGTGGCTTTTGCCAGGCGCAGTGGGTGAGACCCAGAGCCTCCTAGCACAGCATCTCATACCCCTTCCAGATTTATCTTCCGTTAATTTGTCTAACCGCTTCTTGATTTCATTCAGGATTGTAACCTCTGTATTGCTGGGGGGCAATTAATTTTGTAACTCATTACATGTTCTGTGGAAAAGTACTCGTTTTCTGCTGCTTCTAAATCTCCCCTCTGGTAATTTCCATGGATTCCCCCTAGTTCTTGTATTATAAGAAGTAGTAAATAATAACTCCCTGTCCACCTTCTCTGTGCTATTCATGATTTATAGACCACTGTCAAGTTCCCCTTCTTTCCCTGGCTGAAAAGTCATGCTCTGTTTACTCTTAGCTCATACAGATCTGTGCCATTCAAAGTGCTGTATAAGCGGTTGTGGTAATTAAGAGTTAAATTAAACATACACCTGGGCACAGAGACTTAGAAGCACTAAGAATTTGTGACTATAACTGACATTATTGGAAGGCATCTTCAGGCTGAAAATCAGAGCCTTAGTTCAGAGATACGGAGAGATCAATACGGGTGCTCACAAAGGGATGCGGCTGTATCTGAGCTGAAGAACGGCATCAAGCCGCATGATAGCCATTCTGCAAATCTCTGCTCCGTTCACATGCTGCAAAATACTTATTATCCATGCTGAGTATGAGCAACCAGACTTTCTGAAATGATCACCCCCCAAAATCACTGTACAGTAACTTGAAAGATACTTAGTTTTACCCTCCAAGGATCAAGGACAATGTTGTCCTCGTTTCTCTCTGGCACAAGTTTTTGGAAGTTAGGGGTTTGAATCCAAAACCCAAAGACGTTGGTGCCACCGATGGACTGTCTATTCCTGTACCCCAGGAACTGAGAATCTGCTGAAGGGAAATGTTTTTAGGAGCAAAGCTATTCATACATGAGTCTCAAATTATCTTCAATAGCATGCTCAGCCAAATCTTAAAAAGAATACAAGTACACATTAATTAAGAATTAACATAATTCTGTTCCTTGAGTATGGTGTTTATTAAAATATAAACTCTGTGAACATACACTTGAGAGGAAGCTTCTAAATATTTTTAAAAGCTTAATTTTCAGTCACCCTTTATTTATTTTTTTCATTAAGAGAGAAGAAAGAAGATGGCACTTGACTTTCTGAAACTTTCCATTTGCTTGTCAGATCTAGCATCCAAAAGTAGCTGAGTGTCCTTAACTCTGCTGATAGGGCAAAATCAGCAATGATTTAGATTTATATGAAAAGCAGAGACATGAGATGACATTTTCAAAAGTCATTTTGAAAGCTGCATTTGTGAAGCTGTTCAGACAACTAAAGGACCAAGAAAATACGCAAAGGACTTTTCAGGCAAATGTGCTGACCGTTAATGAATTATTCACATTTGAATTTTGAGAAACTTACATTCTTAGGCATTGAAATGCTTTTAGAAATCTGACTGTTTGTTGTAGTACCACAGATGAGTTTTTCAAAAATAATTCTGTGATGGAAGACCCAAATGTCCGGTCACTTCCACCATTGTTTGGAAAACGGGATTTAACCTTTGTCCTGCCACACCAAGTAGCGTAACACCTAAATACTCTTAGAAGTGTTGGTGAACAGTCCCTCAGCAGTAACCTGGGCGCTCTCACCACCTCACAGTTAGCCACGCTCTTTGGAAATACCAGTGGTCCACAGGAGGCTTTGCACTCCAGGCTTGCTGGTCTGGGAAGTGGCACAGCACGACAGGGACCGGTTTGCGTCCAGATGCATCTCTCAGAATGAAGAGGACAAAGTTTGCCAATGATTCTCAGCTCCCCCTTCAATTTGTGTTCCCCTTTGCCCTGTATATGTTTTTCTGCGGACTTACCGAACTTCTTTGTGTTTTGCAGAATGCCAAAGCCAGCTACGACTTCAGCAGTAATGATCCCTACCCCTACCCCCGCTATACAGATGACTGGTTTAACAGGTAAATGAATTTTGATCAGCCTACTCTTCACTTTGGTGTACTTAAGAAACTGTAAGTACTTGCTGGTATTTGTGGAATGCCTGTTTTCTGCTAAATTCAATGGTTGCCAGAACAGACGCTGCAGTCTCACTACTGCTTGAAAATTAGAGGTTACTTCATTTTTTTTCAGGTAACCTCTAAATAGCACTGAACAGCTATTTTATAGTTTATAAATGATGTTGCTGCTTCAGAAGGATATGTATTTAGATTGTTTGAATGGGTGATAGCCAGGTACGTCTTTCTGCCAGCTATCCTAGCACATTACAGTAACTCAAATCTCTACAAGCTGGTTTTCCATCTCCTGTCTCTGAGGCAGTATGAGTGCTAGCTAATTTTAAAGGGAGTAAACTGAGGACAGGAGGAGGCTTTGGAGGGGGGGGAAAAAGTGTTTTCATCTGATTGTAGACTAAGGCAGCAGAAAAGCAGCATGGTGTAGAATGACCAGTTCAAAAACAATTAAATCTTACATTAGGTTCTGAATCATCCGTCTTCTCACCTTGATTTAAGGGCAGTGTATATGGGTAGCATTTAAGGGCTCATTCTGAGATATTTCTAGCTGCTGTAGGAATTAAAGTCCCTGTACACTGACTGGGAACTGGTTCTGTTGTGTTTATAAACCTGGCATCAAGAGTGCAGCTGTGCTTGTTGTGTTACTTCTCCTGAGCACATCATGATTGCCCAAGACCCACTCCTCCTTCAATATGGTCTGAACTTAGCTAATTTCCAGCAGAAGAAGGTCTGGTGCTCAGCGTATAGTGTAAGTAAGAATGGCCCAAAAGATAAGGCTTCAGATTTTGGAAAGTGTGACTTTTTTTGTTTCCCTAAACTAATTTTTTCTTAAAATGGAACAGAAACATATTTCAACAGTTTTGGGGTTTTTTGAAAAAAACAAACATGTGTTGCCTGAGTTCTGCATCTGTCCCATGAAAAAGCCCTTTCTGTCAGGCTTCTAGCAAGGTGTTAGCGTAGTCAAGGGTGCAGAGTCCAAGGCACACCTATAAGGTGTGTTTATTGCCTGGTGATCTCAACATCCAGCATCTCTGGCTCTGCAGCATACTCCCCAGGGTCTCAGACAGGTTCTAGCTTGCATTTGCAAAAATTGTTTCAGGATATTTTCAATGAAATTTCCAAATATCTTCTAGATGTAAATATAGTTGATGTTGCCAGCATTTACATAGCAGCACCGCTGACGATTTAAGAACTTTCAAAGTCTTCAGGGCTCAGTCTTAGTGCTTATCAAAAAATATTTCAGGCCTATTTGATGTGGTTTTCATCTCTAACTTGGTATGGCTGTATGGATGGCCTCCAAGTTTTGTGTGGGGATTTTTTGTTTTTATTTCTAAAGAAATCAATTTTAGTTCTGTCAGAGTGACACAACAAAGAAGTGGAGCAGCTGTGCCTCCACCTCAGACACGGGCTTCCTGGAACGGATCAAACAGATTTAGGAGCTGTGATGTCCTCCTTTGTAGTCCTGCCGTTTTTCAGCCAAAGCAAGATGCCAATGAGATTTCTCCTCCATTTCGGGAAAGGACATCTGACACTTTTAAACTAGTATGAATCCAATTAGTGACTGGAAAGTTGGAGAAAGACTAGGGGTCTAATTTGTGAAGGTCTGCTGCCTTTCGCGCTTTATTTGTGCAGAGGATCTTTGTAGCAGAAAGATATCACTTAGGTCTGGAGCAACGCAGAGGAAAATTAAATTTAGCTTTAGTGGGTAACGGTAGCTTCTGTCATTTTTAGTGTGGAACTTCATAAAACGGAGTGTGTTCTGCCAAGCCCCATTAACACTGATTGTGCTGCTATCAAGTATTTTATAGTGGGGCACAGTTGCAGCTCTCGTGTTCTGCAAGGTGGCCCTGGAGGCAGAGTTGCCTGCTCAAGTCTCTTAAAATGGGCCTTGAGCATCTTGGATGTGGCAAGGGTTGTGGTCTCTGGCCCCAGGTGCCTCTGGCTAACTTCAGGCACCCAACTGAAGAATGGAGAGGGAGCAGCATGGTCATCTGTGACCCGCGCTGTAGTTATTGAGAACAACGTGATTCGGCTTTTCTGAGAACTACACCGCGTTCTTCTATTTCTTTTCTTGAGGGAATGGGGAACTCAAGACAGCAAATCAGGAGGAGAAAAGCAATGCAGAAATTGCTTGGCAGCTTTCCCTCATTATTCTTTCCAGGAAAAAAAAAAAGATATCTAGAAAATGCAGCATTCTTTGTCGTGAACCTTGAGGTTTATTTGGTGACACAGGGAATTTTCTGCCTTGCAAGGTAAATCACAGGAGCAGCACATTCAGTAAAGCATCCCTTTCCTGCCTGCACAATTCAAGAAGGCTTTAAGATGCAAGATTTCATGTTTTCTCCAGGTTAAGATGCAAACCAGCACACCATATCCAGCTGTTCAGGAGTAGGTGTGACTATGTTTTTCTTTGCATATTTCTTTGCTGTACTGTTTAATCAAGCTGATGTGCTCATATATAAGCTATTGTCATAACTACTGAGTCCTGAGTTATTATTACTGGTAGATTACAACTGCCTGTGACAGTCTGTCTATCCATATGTGTAGCTGCACAGGTATGTCTGGATAGAGGAGTTGCACAGAAAAGCCATTCAGAGAAACCTGCGATAAAGGCTTCGTTTTGCTCAGTTTACAGTCAGTGATGTATCTCCCATTGAATTTTATACATGCAGGAGGATCAGACTCAAAATAGGATAGCGTAATATCTTTTTTCCATAAAGAATACATTTCTCTGTGAGCAATTCAAGTGATTAGTGGGAAAAGCAGCAGAGGACTGTTCAGCAAGGGGCCTTTGTGAGCTGCCAGCTGCATGTGCAAAGTGTCATTAGACTTTAAGAAAAAAAGAAGAGGTTTTTGCATGGAGTATTTCATTAATCGCAGCTGCTCTGCTTGTAAGCACAGATTCCCCTTCCACTTTGTGCTTTTTATGGCTGCTGAAAGCACTTTGGCCTTTCCATCTAACAGCCACTGGCCTACGAAGCCAAGCAGGGTGGGTTTTGGAAAGGGAGAGTGTGGTACCTCGGGCAGGGAATTGCAGCCAGGCAGTTTGGCTGCTGGTACAGGGAGAGGCACGTAGGTGCCTGGACAGCCAAGGGATTTATTCCCGTGCTTACCATACGGACTGCTTGACTGTTTTCAGACACACAGCTTGGGGACCAAGCCAGGATAGGGGACACGGGGTACAACGTGGGGCAGGGATGTGTTGGAGCCTGGGGAGCAGTGGGAGCAGTGAAGGAACCAGAACCAAGCTCTGTTCCCAAAATCAGAGACAGCCCCACCGCACTCAGAGTGGTTTTTAGGAACCACTTTCGGAACTGCCTGTGGTTTTTAACACCCGCTCCTCCTGAACCCCATTCAGTGCCTTGGCATGTACCATGTTGTGCAGTGCGGAGGTAGCCATAGGAGTCAGTGATAGCTTGGCCTTCCTGTACAGCCCTCTGATTGCTTGTGGTGAGCGTGCAGAACGCACGACTCGGGGCTCCCCATCTCAGAGCACTGACGTTACAAATTTCTGCCATGGTATAAATAACCAAGAATTATTTCCACTCCTTTGAATTCTGTATATTCTCTGACTCAGAGAAGAGTTTGCAGGGCAAAAATTATTCACTGTCTTGGAAACCCATGTTCTTCAGAGGTAAGAATGTCCTGTAATTATTGTGGATCTAAACAAAATACCATTGAGTCAAGGGAAGAACTTCCCTTGGCTTCCGGACAGTGCTCATTAACAGGGTAAAAGCACCTGCTCCCCTCCTCCTCATTTTTCAGTCAATACAATGGAAACAACATAATAATTGAGAATTTGTATAAACAGATTTAGCAGCTCTTTGTGCCCGCAGTGTTACGACACAAGTGTCAAGGAGGAGCCGCAGCACTGCTGGTCCCTGGCATGTTTGGATGCAGGCAGAGCGGCCACGTTCCCCAAAGAAGGGGAACGCTTTCCCTTGTGCAAACTCTCAAACGCTCAGAAGCTGACAATGTCATGTGAGTAAAAAGGCGATGGCATTTACCCCACAGAAGTGTCCCTCTGATCTTTGCACATTTAACTGCTGCCCAGTGCAAGCAACTAAAGTGGTCAAGACAGGCAGATCGTCCCAGCTATTGAGACTGCAGCTCTGCACAGCCCTCCCCTGCGGACAGCTGAAGTCAGGAAGGATGGATCCTGTTCTTTGCTGTCTGCAGAAGCATGTCAAAGCAGATGAAAAGGAACCTCAGTGGAAATCTGTGCCACCTCTGGCTCTTTTAAAAAATATTATCAATAGACGGGCATGCACAATAGCATTGGCAGTGGAGTTTAGAAATGGAAATAGTTTTCAAAGACAGAATGAAATTTTCGTAACTACTACAGATATGTTATTTAAACCAGCTGAAGGCAAAACTGATTTTCAATTGAATCACCTTCTCCCACCTTTAGTTTTTCATGAATGTTCATGTAAAATGTTTGCATTTATATAATGTTTGTGGAAAACTTACTCCACGTATTAATATATTACTTGCTGTACATGCTAATATATGGTTTATCTTTGAAGTAACTTGTTCATAGGTGAAAATACTCTTAATTGTTTTCTATCCCCTTGTTTTAGACATTGAAATAATAGAAGTGGTGAACATTTGAGAGAAAAGCTGTGACTTGAGCCTATGACATGGGTCACTTCATAGAAACCACAATGGGGTTATCAATGATACGTGAACAGCAAATAGGGCTAAATTGGAAAAGTCTGCTATTTGCCATTAATAATGCAACCAAATGCGTTTCCACTAACTCATATGTGGGGTTTTTTTGTTGTTTTTTGTTTCTCCAGTCAGCAGCATGGTATCTAAACCCTGAGTTGCTGGAACAGGTCTGCTTGCAGTCTCCGTCATGTGGGCCAGCGCACTGGGGAGGCGAGGTGGGGAGGACCTTCTAATAAAATGTTTTCACCAGGAAGGTCCTAATACAGTTTTATCTCTGAGAGAAACAGCTCAGCTGGCAGTGTCGCTGATTTTTTGCACCCCAGCATCAGTCAAGACAATTTTTTAACAAAGCCCTTTATTCTGCTCTGTGGCTTGTAGCTAGCCCACAGGTGACTAGATAATGAGTGCCTAGCAACGGTATATTTTTTTCACAGTTCCTTGAACAAGGGCATGAGGGAAAACCTGTTTGGTTGTTGAAAGAAATTTCTCCAGCAGCTGAATTAAGAAATCTGTATCGCTCTCCTGTCTGTCCCCTTTGTAAAAGGAACTCGCACGAAATCTTCACCCTTTCATCATCAAGACACTGTGTACATTCGAGGCCAGTCATCTCCTTTTATGGAGCTGCCTTTAAAAATATATTCTTCCAAATACAGCAGAAAAAAGAATGCATTCCTTCTCACCCCTTTATTAATGTTACACTCACCTTTGCCAGAGGTGCTTAAAGGGAGAGAGAGGAAAAACAAGATGATTAAAACAAAACAATTCTGCTGCCTCCCAGGATGGTGCATCTGGTACTCCGTATAGCCTTTATAATACAGCACTGCTAATTGCATGAATCCTTAGCGTGCCGTAGGAGCAATACCAGTTTTAATGCACAGAGTGGATTGATGTGAGCAGTAGGATGGATTCATATTGATTCAACATTAAGATGTTGAATCAAAAACCTGACGGCAGCACAAGTTTCACTAGTTTCTCTGCTGCTGTGCTATTTTTTTAAAAACTAGATTATATTGTCTATATTTATCTTCTCTGTGGTTTAATTTTTATGATTAATTAGGAGAAAGGAAAGTGCAATCTACCTTCCTGCAGGACTGCCTGAGAGCCACTGCCAGTTAAAGGGTCTCTATTAAGAGCTGCAAAGCACTTCAGAGACACCAAGTGTTCTTGAAATGCCGTGTGTCAGCCCGAACTGGACCTCCGTGTCAGAGCAGAGACATTTCCCACTTGAGCAGAAAGCAGTAGCTCCGTGAGGGGACAACTGGAGCACCTTGTCAGCCCTCCTGGGAATTAGGCACTGGAGGAGAGGGCTGCACGTGCCCTTGGGTCCGGCCAGCTTTGGGCCTGGCCAGCCAGGCCACGGCTCTGCTGCTGGGGAGCGCAGTGACCATTGTGGCTTCCTTCTGCTGCTCCAGCTCGGTATTGCACCCACCTCTTTCCACAGCATTTCTTTTGTGGGCAGGGATGTGCTCCTTGTACGTGTTGAACAGCAAAAAGGCAATCTGACTTTGTTCTGTGGGGTTCGAAATAATGGGTGTTGCACTGTGAAGTCACAAAAATACAGGAATGAATATTGATCGTATTTTTACGCTGTTCTGTCAAAGCCCTGTTTCTAATGACTAATAGTTGGTAGTAAGGCAGATTCTATTTGACAGAGTTGAAAAGGTCTGAATAACTTCACAACTAAATGAAGCATAAGTATACATGTTAACCTCAGAGCAAGCATCACTTATACTGCAGAGGGGAAGTTGATTATCTCCTTGCTTCAGGAAAGAACGAGCTCATCTGAGTATCCAAGTACAGCACTCAACAGTTTGCCATGGAGCGATTTTCCTCTGAAGCGCTGGGAGCTGACAACGAGGCAAAACCAAAATCGTGGTGATCCAGCTTAGTTCAGCACGTGCGTTGGCTGGGGTTCACGTGGTGTCTCTGTCTTCCCTTTTGCAGCCACGGCACGAGGTGTGCGGGAGAGGTGTCTGCTGCTGCCAACAACAACATCTGCGGCGTGGGAGTTGCGTACAACTCCAAGGTGGCAGGTACGGTAGCAATTCAAGGTGTAAATGGTCCTTACACCGCTGTGCCTCACGCAGAACTTCTGCGGAGACAGGGAGCATTGCCCAGGACAGGACTGCAGGCTGGCACCGGGCCATGTGTTTATTACTTTTCACAGTAGCTGGGGAGAGGAGTTTCTCCATGGCTTTGCCTTTTCAGTTGAGGGCCTTATATGGCCTCTTTAATAACATTGCAAAGGAACAGCTCTACTCCTTCTTGTGCGAACTCCTGTTTGTGTACTGATTTTCAGTGCTTCTTCCCTGCATAGCTGCAGAATCGTTTGCAACAAATCTCATTTTGCAGGAGGTAAAATAGAAATTCTTTTTTTCTATTTGAAGAGGCAAATCCTATGCTGCTCTTTTTCTTTAGGCTGTCACAGGGCAGGGCCTGCAGTGCTGTAAATGTCTGCAGTCGTTGGTTTCCTCTATTTTAACAAGTGATGCTGTGGCAGGAGCAGATGCACAGAATGAAATGGGTGATGCCTAGCACCCAGCATGCACACCTCGGGTGTGTTGGGTATTTTTACTTCTAACTAGCTCTGTCTGCACTGCTAGACTGAATACAGCGCTTGGAGTGACTTAGACTCTTGGGCAGCGTGTGTCGGTTTTGTTTAATCTGAAGAAATCCCATTTTCCCACTCTAAGACTGTTCCAGGCTGAGAACTGAGGCTGAGAACGAGATGCTTATGAATTTCACTTTCATTCCCTGCTCCACACCAAAACACCGGTGTGGATGCACCTATTGCTTCCTGGCCACGGTTCACAGTGTGTGTGCACGGGCAGCTCTGCTGTGCTTGGCCAGTCCCTGTTTCACCACGGTGTCCGAAGAATCTGGGGAAGGCTGCATTTTGTCTGTCATCTACACGACTGAATTCTGAATCTCCACTGTAGAAGGGCACCAAGTAATGTTTGCTAAGCTGTTACCCCGAGAAATATCCCTGAGAGTTAGTAACTGGCCAGGCAGGTCTAGTGCTCGTCCACTTTCTTCAGTAATGGTCACATCCCCTTCAGGGATGGGACATTTCATAAAATTTACATTCCGGCAATAGCTACTTTGAGAGGAATGTGAATTGAGGCATGGGATTTTGGCCGGACCTCATCTGTCTTATTAGTATAACTCTACAACTTCGAGACGGTTTCTTAAAAATCAAGAAGTGAAGGCCTTTTCTGATGACCAGCAGCCTACAAATAATCTTCCGTACGTGTCCACTTCCTAGCACAAGCCCCACAGATTTTTTGGCAGGCCCAGCCTTGCCTGCCCGAGGACAGCGTGTACCCATAGTACCACCCAGTGGTCAGTGGGACGGTGGAAGCTGATGAGAGCTGAGAGTCTGCTGCTGACATCCGTCAGGGTCCGTGTTTGCAGGTGGAATTGGAAGTTGGTAGCCAAGGATCTCTGGGGCATCGTGTGTTTTGCTGCTTGTACCTCTGGTTTGCCCTAAAGTCAAACCAGATGGCTCCTCCTGTTGTTCCCTCAGCTCCCCAGGGTCAGTATTATTTAATTGTGTGGTTTCAGTGCAGATCTGCATTTTACAAGCATGGGAAGGGATTTCTCACTCACTGAGTTGGACTTTACAATTTCGAGCTTGAATTAGCAGATCAGGAATGTCCAGCTTTGGTCTGTCTGGTTTCTCTTTGAAGTTTATACCGCTTTTTCCAGCCTCACATTTGGCACGTGGATTTTGTATTGAATATAGTAGAAGCAATGGCTTCTCAGTCAGGGTCCTCGCTGCCATTCACGCTGTTTGGGTCTGTGGTATTGATTTCTGACCCATCTGTGTCCTGAAACTGTTGGGAAAAACTGAACTTCAACTCAAGGCTACAAATGAGAGTTGGAATGTATGCCTGGTTACTCAGGTCTCATCCAAAGGCCACCGAGAGGTTGGCTATCAGTGAAACTGTCCTACGTGTGGGACACGATGGGTGTGAGGGCTTGGGCTGCTGTCTTTGTCACGCTCTCTGGCTTGCTTAGGGCCAACACTTTGAGGTTTTCTGAAGTTGACATGTCCTAGGATTTTATTGTTTAAACTCTTAACTCAATTTCTACTGCAGCATGGCTTAAAGGAAGGAGGTTTTAGTTTGCTTTTGTTCTCCAAATACTGGCCATGTGTTGCTATTGCATCTGCATGTTCACACGATATTTTTCCAGGGAATTGTTGTGTAGTGTGTTTCCCCTCTCTGATTAAATTCTGGAGAAGAACCAAAATAAGCAGAAAAATTACTTGAAAAGCTAATGAAGTGTCAACGCATCACTGAGTATAAATTAGAGATGAGGCGGGACCTTAATTCTTTTCCCTAGTTGTTATTAATAGTATTTAAAATACTATTTTTTATTATTTAAATTCTACGAAATCCTGTGATTGCAGAATACTCTTGTTTTAAAAGTGTTTTCAAAGAGTAGCTAGAAAACACTATGTAATTAGAAAGCTAGCAATAAAGTGCTTTCTCTTTGAGCCGCACTGCATTGCTGTGGCTGGGTGTTTAAGTGCTGGCATCCTGCTGGGTAAGCACACCCTGGTGAAACGTGAATGGTGAGTGCGGAATTACTGAGTGGGTGAAAGTGCCAGTGAGTTAAAATACCTGTAACTGGGGGACTTCTCCGGGTGCTGAGATTTCATCTTTTCTGGGTAATGCATAATTCATGTTTATGTTGATTAAATCTACAGGTATTCGAATGCTCGACCAACCATTTATGACAGACATTATTGAGGCTTCCTCTATCAGTCATATGCCTCAGGTCATAGATATATATAGTGCCAGCTGGGGACCAACTGATAATGGAAAGACTGTGGATGGACCTAGAGAGCTAACACTGCAAGCAATGGCAGATGGTGTGAACAAGGTAACAGTCTTATTAAATAATCTGGGTACTGGGACAGAATGATACACTCACACTGAAACCAATGACTTGAGAATGCATGATCCTCCCATAGATGTTGGAGAACACAATGCAATTGTGTAAACGATCCCAGCTTTCAGTGTATTCCAAGGTCCATTGATGTTCTCTCTGCAATATTGTGGCATTGCTTTTATGGTAGAGTCTCGGGATGCTGTGCTGTCTTGCATGGAACTGTGTTTATCTCTAGTCAGCTTACATATGCTTTTCACATGCCATCGCAGTCAAAATGGAAGAGCCTGATGCTGTAAATATTCCCCAGGTTGAAACATGCCAGCTGTACTACTGGCATCACATTGTCTGTTTTGGTGTGCTACCAATTTAATTATCGTTTTGGATTTGTAGTGTCTTTCAGGTCACTCATATATGGTCATTATTATAGCTGTGATTGAACCACAACTGTTCAGGTGTCCATGGAGTAATATTCTTCCCCAGTAGCAGGACCCTCCTTGTTTATTCCCACCTTTCGACCTCCTTCTAGGAACAGTCTGTGCTCTGTGTTAAAGATGCTCAGTATGATCCTGGAATCTGTTAAACCTCTACTCTTTTAGAAGGTTGGGTAAAATGCGTGCCACAACTCAAAAAGGAAAAAAAATCAGACCAAACCTTGCATGGCTCTGTCTCCATCTCTTCGGTGTCATGCAGCCAGGACAACCACAGCTGCTCCTGGTGCTGTAGGGAGTGGGCCTCCTCCCCTTGGTTGATCATAGATGTGTTTCTATAATGAAAAGATCTGAAATAGCCCAGAACATCTAGGGTGGCCTTGAGTGGGAGCTCTGCAATTACTCATTTTTCCATCCAAATTATTTCTTCCTCTTATTCGTGCCAGTTTCTCCCACTCTTCATCACCACCTCGCTGTGAGCAGCACATTCAGTTTACCATGTTTGGTGACATGATAATTAAATCTACTGCTGTGGTAGGTAGTGAAGCATCTAAAGCTTTCTCAAATCCTGAGCCTCAAATGTTTTACCTATAGCAGATGAATTATAGTCATCTTCATGCTCTCACCCATAAAATTGGCAATGTACTGCAATAACGCAGGATGACTTGTCACAAATTGCTCCTGAGTCTGCTCAGTTTCGTAGTATAAACTTTACAAACGTCTGATGGGCTCAAAGTCCCTCTGAAGTCAGCTTACACAAGCTGTGTTTCTTCTCATGGCTTCCTTTCATTTATCTAGTGTTTCCATAAAGATCCTCTTAAATACTCCTGTCTTGGGGACAGTCTTTCTTGAGTATGTGACACAGTTGATATATTTTTAGCCACACCTTGTTGTCTTATAGTTAGTGGATACTTAATTGATTCTCCTTTCA